TTAACATAGGTTGTCTACCCTCTCGTTGCCAACTTTAGCATTGAAATCCCCCATAACAAAGATGATATCCTGAGATTTGCACTGCGAGTATGCCTGATCTAACTGGGCATAAAATATGTCTGTCTTCGTCACTGCTCTTAGTAGTGAGTGCATATGTTTGGATTATGCTGATGTCCATAGGACTCCCCTTAAACCTTGCCAACAGAATGCGGTCAGAAACGGCCCAGTATCCTAGTAAAGCCTTAGATGTTTTCGAGTCTGCGATGATGCCAACTCCTCGTCCGTGCTGTTCGCCTCCTGAGTATATGATCTTATGGTTTTCTGATGATATAGCTCCAGCTCCTGTCCATCTCATCTCAGATATGCCCATGATATTGATGTGCAATCTGTTCATTTCCTCCTTGATGTTTTCCAACTTTCCAGCTTTATACATTGTTCTAGCATTCCAGGTAGTAATTTTAAGCAGATGTTTGTTCTTCAGCGCAGTAGCTTGATGACGGTCTGGTGTCACCTGCAGCTCGTGACGAACCTTACCGGACGAGGTCGCTTCTAGGAAGCTACCATTCACGTCATTGTTGCTATTCTCTGTGATGTGTTGTACTGCCATGATTGTTCTTGGGAAGGTACAGCAGTGGTTTCCCGTTGCCTTCTGCCGGTTTGTTTACGGACTCTCCGCTAGCCTTTGGAAATCAATCCTAACCCACAAGGCAGTAGGGTGGAAGATGGGTAATATGCCTTTCCAAAGGGCAACCCAGGGTGCAGTTTAACGCCCACGCCTGCCGGCATGACACCTGATGATGATGATGAATCCTGGAGTGGACTTTGTTTTTGTTTTTTTTTCTTTTTCTTTCTTTCTTGATTTTTTGTTTCATTTTTTCTTTCTTCCTTTTTTTCTTTCTTTCTTTCTTTTTCTTTCTTTCTTTCTCTCTTCCTTTCTTGCTTTCATTTTTCTTGTTCTTTCTTTCTTTCTCTCTTATTTATTTATTTATTTATTCATTTATTTATATTTTTCCTTCTGCCTGTCTTTCTTTCATTCTTTCTTCCTTTTAGCCCATTGCCGCCGGGGAAAACAGAAAATGGGGGAAATGCAGTACTCATTTTTTATATTTTTGTGAAATATATCTGTCCATAGATGGCTCTGCTAGTCCTGATTTCACCTTTCCTTGAATTGGCGGGAAAAAGCGTATTTTTACTAGTGCTATAAATATAGATGGTGTTATTTTTAACAGCACTTGGCCACATGCCGCTGGTTGATAGCCAAGAAATCCAACAAAAGTAAAAAGTTTAACAGCAAATTAGGATAACGTTAAATATATTCGTAAATCGATGAAAAGGGTGAACGGGCGAAACAGGCAGTACTCGTAATTGGCTCATTGGATACTTAGTACAAGTGTAGCCATCTATGTGTAAAAACCATCGAACAAGTCGACTCACAGTGGGCATGGCATGTACGTACATGCCATCCCCAGCGGCAGTGGGTTAATAATCCATTCACGTCAGATAACAAACAATGGGCGGTAAAAAAAACAATATATATTACGTTTTTTTTGTGAAATGAGATGTCTATAGCTCCACACCAGCCACCAGATATTTTCTTAGATCATTGTAGTCCAAATAAATGCTAGTCTTTAAATTCCTTTTCCTGGGTCTTTCGTAAACCCTTGAGTAGCGGCGACTTCTCTAGCAATTTCAACAAAGATTTAAAATCCTCCTCCTCCTCCTCCTCCTCCTCGCCTGTTCTTTCCGGTTTATTTATATTGGCCAAAATGTTCACAGATGAAGTTTTCACCCCAGCAATGCTCCTCTCAGCTGATTAATGTAAACAAATATCCTGGCACTGCGGACACGATTTTGTCGAGAGGGTTTGGTTGACTGAGAATATAATAAAGGTTCGAAATTGACGTAAGCGACTTTCTATTGGAAACATCAATGGCTAACGAAGATACGAAAGTGAAATAAAAAATTATTGTATTTCGGACGGAGAGATAATTTTGAATTTGTAGACAAACATATCATCGTACCGCATTTTTTATAATATTAAAAGCATAAAAGCATTTTCTATTGTCTTTACTGTTATTTTGTACTACAAATATTCCTGTACACAGACATGAATGTATCTGTAGAAAAAAAAGTAGTTATATGAGAATAAGTATAACTAAAAGGAAAGCTGAAAATGTTTAATGCACTTTCTTGTCATCATCTTTTGCAACAAATATTCACACAGATCAGTTCGGAATAAAGTACGGCTCTTTAGATGAAAGATTATAATGATTACAATGCTCACTGAAAAAAAAAAACATAAATAAATAAATAGATAAAGCAAAAACAATGCCCTCATAGGCTTTCATCTACTCACCCTCTGATCACGATCACTGATCAGCTGACCACGTGACCCGAGACGAGAAACGATGCCCTGAAGAAGCAAAGAAGCAGCGAAAAGGCCTTTTGCATATTCGTGTATTTTCTTAATCTTCCCGCCGTTGTTTCATTTGCACACACATATATCTCTGTGTGTGTGTGTGTGTGTGTGTGTGCAAATTCATTCACCCCGCAGCCGCCGGCAGAGCGTGGGAAGGCGTGGTGGCGCTGGGGGGGTGCCGCGTGCAGCGAGCCATGGACCGGGCGGAGGAGCGCCTGCAGGTACCGGTCCTCTACGTCTCATGGAATACGTGCCCGGGCGCTCGCCAGCGGAGCGAGAACACGGTAATTCTCAATGACATTCAGGTGAGGCAGCGCTCGGGCGATTTTTTTTTTCTTTTTTGGTTCTGGAAGGAGTGGAAGAGGTACACTTGCCCCCTGGGAAGAGACTACTATGAATAGAAAGATAGCTATCGATACATAGAAAAATATGTGTGTAAAGATAGATATACAGATCAAAGGAGATATCGACAGCTAGATAAATCAACGGGCAAACAGGAAATGTAGTGTCTTTGCATCAGACAACCAACACGATATACTGGGTCAAAATACGGCTGCCAAAACAAGGTGCATTTATATCTTTCCCTGTAATGAAATCAAACAATGCTAAATATTATGGTTAAAAATAAAACTTTTAACTTGATTCATTTCACCCAGTTGACGTACATAAGTATATATTTGATTGTGTGTGAATATGTGTGAGTGTATGTATGTGTTTGTGTACGTATATGTATGTGTGAGTGCGTGCGTGTGTGCATATGTGTCCCTAATAACATAGAACTTGGTTCTTCCTTAGTTCCACATGAGGTACAGTTGCCTGACGTGGGTCCTTCGCCAGTGGGCCACGTCCTTCCTGCTGGCTAGGCCTACGCCGTTCAACAGCCGTCACAACCTAAACATTTCTCTCGGGACAAAGGAAGCTTTCGTGTGAGTATAATGTCTCCGCCCAATTATACAATAGGGCTTATTCATCATATTCATCCTTCTATTTGTCTGTCATTGCAGCAGGATATTTGTCTCCCAATAATTAATTAAATTTATATATATATATATATATATATATATATATATATATATATATATATATATATATATATATATTTATATATATATATATATATATATATATATATATATATATGTATGTATATATATATATGTATGTATATATATACATATGTATATATATATATATATATATATATATATATATATATATATATATATATATATATATTTATGCATATATGTGTATACACACACACACACACACACACACACACACACACACACATATATATATATATATATATATATATATATATATATATATATATATATATATATACATATATATATATATATATTTATAAGCCTACGCTTTGATTGCTAACTCGAACCCGAGAAAACGACATATCGGCTTGAGAAGTCAAACGCAGGTGTCGTAGGGAAAGTCACCGCCGTGGCACAAGTGTTAACCGCTGTTGATTAGGAAGGGCATTCAATCAGGCAAGGGTGACACTGCCATATAACCTCACAATACTGAATTGAGAGAGGCCTATGTCCTGCAGTGGAATGAATAGCTGTTAAAAAAAATGTGTATATATATATATATATATATATATATATATATATATATATATATATATATAAATATATATATATATATATATATATATATATATATATATATATATATATATATATATATATGACTGCCGCGATGGTCGAGCCCGAGAAAACGACATATCGCCTTGAGAAGTCAAACGCGGGTGTCTAATACATTTTCTTCGAAAATATACTGATTTTTTTAATAACTCAATAATAACAATGTTCAAAAATGACTGAACAAGAAATTTAGAAAATAGTAATATTTCCAATTAATGAACCGTATTCATGTTGACAATTAATAAAGGCAAGAGGCGGAGCTTAGCTCGGCAGTTGCCACCAAAAATTAATTCTACAGTAATTCCATATATTATTTTTTTTCCTAAATTGAAGATGGAATCCTGGTGGATTTCGAAAGTCTAGTCTCATTTTCAATAAATTTAGTTTGTGCATTGTGGGTTTTACTATATATATAAGTGTGTGTGTGTGTGTGTATGTGTGTGTGTGTGTGTGTGTGTGTGTGTGTGTGTGTGTGTGTGTGTGTGTGTGTGTGTGTGTGTGTGTGTGTGTGTGAGTCGACTCAGATGTGAGTGACTAGTTAGTGGCTTCATGCTGGATCCGAGTCGGGACGGAAAAGAAGTGACATCCCAACTGCATCATCCCGCGACCACAAAGAAAAGCAGGTTTGCCATCCCGGCGTTGACGTACGTCAAAAATTAAACCAGTTAACGATAGACAGATAGATAGATAAAGGTATAAATACTGATATAGATGCATTTATGATAAAATTGATATGTTAAGCTCTTTTTGCAGCGCTGAGGACATCATGTACCGCTGTGCAGGGATGGTGGAGGTCGGGAACATGTACCGAGCGCGGAAGGCCCTCAGAGGAAGGTTATTAAGGATAGTCACTATCCATGTAAGCCTTTAGTGTGTGTGTGTGTGTGTGTGTGTACATGTATGTGTGTGTGTAAATCTAAAGTGATTAAAGATCACATTAAAAAGAAAGTACAGTCACAATAGGAACAAAATAATGTTTTTTTTCTCGTGTGGTTTGTTAATAAGAATAGCCTTTTCTTAAAAGTAATGTGGGAAGAATGACACATGGAAAGAGTGCCCGCAGATTCTTTTTTCTCTCTCTCTTTCTCTTAAAATTTTAGGTATGAATTATAGTGAGCTTAAGTGTCACAAACAAAGACTAAAGTGTGGTGCAAGTAAAAGAGTTTGAGAAATAGATTTTAAAGTGTGGTGTGTTACAAATAGGAGCTGAATATATGTGACAAATAGAAAGTGGTAAGTAAAGCATGAAAAACTATCGAGCGTAAGAGATCAAGACCAAAGAATAAAAGTTTTAAGAAAGTGTGAAGAATAAGTAAGATCAATGAGTGAAATGCCAAGAATATTCTAGAGTGAGGTAAAAAAAAAATAACAATAATAAGATCAAATAATGAAGATTTTAAGAATTTGTTAATAATGACAATAACAAAAGATAAAAAAAGACAAAAGAATGGTATCAAGAAAGAGTGAAAAATATATGTTAATTCTCTCTCCTCCGCAGCGACCTCCGTTCGTATTCCTGGA